AAACCTGGAGTATGCAAGTGAATCTTTATTTGGCATTTGTTATTTTTGTTGTTGTTTAAGCCAAGCCATACATTGTGTTGGTAGAACAGTATCAGATTTTACATATACTGGAATAAGATGTCAACATGATAGTTTTATGGCTAGTTCTAAGTAGCTTATTAACTAAGTAGACCTAAGTGCTTTGTTAATATGTGGAGGGCCTTTATTATCCAGCTGTTATAAAAAAGAAACTGAAGTCAGCAAAATATCTATTAAGCTTAGAAATGTGAACTGTGGAATAGTAAATTTCAGTCAAATCTCTTAGCAGCTTTTAAACTTTAAACCTCTGAACTGGTATTAAATTGAGTTTGTGGCTAGCAGTTAGCTGCTCCTGTGTCTCTGAGATATCTTGGTCAGGTTAAATTGGGCCATTTACTGCATAACATTGTTCATCACATGTTACCCAGAGCATCTGAGGGCACACTGAGGCTTATATGACATAGTTGCATCATATTCGATGTAAAAAGCAGTGCAGGCAATAGCATTCAAAATTCTTTAGCTCTTTAATGGACAACCTTCTGGTAAGGATGTGGAACAGCTGGTAAGAATGCAAACTGGTACAGCCACTCTGGAAAGTTTGACAGTTTCTTGCAAAGTAAAACTGTGTTTACCCAAGAAAAACGAAAACATCTTGACCCACAGACTTGTACTAGAATATTCATAACAATTTTATTTATAATAGTCCAAAATTGGAAACAAGGAAATTGGATAAACAGATTGTGTTATACGTAAAATGGAATACTGCTTATCAATATGGAGTCCTGGTGTGGCACTATAGGATAAGCACTTGATAACAACAAAGTCAGCCGTTCAAGCTCTTCAGCTGCTCCTTGGGAACTCTGTACAGAGTTGCTATGAGTTGGAATTGACTGAACGGTACTTAACAACAACAGATCAATAAGAAGGAATTACTGCTTCATACAATAGCATGGATGATTTAAAAGCGTTTTGCTGAATGAATGAATCATTTAAACTATGATGTATGATTCCATTTTTCTGAAATTATAGAAAAGCAAAACTTGTTAGTGAAAGTGAAGATGTATGGGGGTTTGTAAAGCTAATTTTTTTTCAGTGTTGTATATTAATTCTAGATTACATAGATCTCTGTTGAGATTATCAAACAAGCAAGTTTTGTTGTAAGTATTCTTTTGAATACATACATCTCAGTTGTGCTTCATTTTGGGGGGAAGCAAAAGAAGACCAAAGTAACCTAAGAACCAGTTGTGTGGTGACCAAAAAATGTACATATGTCACACAAAAGATAGGAATTCAGGTAATGTTACTCTGGGCTAATAATGCCTTCCGAAGTGTCTGATTGTAAATAAACTTTAAGATGCTTTGAATTAGATCAGAATGGTGCTAACTTTGAATAGGAAATAAATAAATAAATAAATGAAACCTGCTGCTACAGAAGAGAGTTCTATTAGTCAACAAGAAGAATATTTGTGTTCTGATTGATACAGAATATTGTGCTAGTTTTTAAAGACCTTTCTGGTAAATCTTAAAAGGCCCATTTATATCAAGGTATGTATATATATGAGTCCTGGTGTGGTGGTGCTGTGGGTTAATGCACCAGACTGCAAAGCCATTTGAACCGCAAGGTTGGTGGTTCAAGCTCACCAGCTGCTTCTCGGAAACCCTATACAGGGCCACTATGGGTCGCAACTGACTCGATGGCATTTAACAACAACAGCATGCGTGTGTGTGTGTGTGTGTATATATATATATATTGGTAGTGGCTATGTGCTGTGGAGTCAGTTCAGACTCATAGCAACCCTGTACAGGGTTTCTGAGGCTGTAAATCTTTATGGGAGCAGAAAGCCTCATCTTTCTTCCGCGGAACAGCTGGTAGTTTCAAACTGCTGACCTTGTGGTTCGCAGCCCACTTGGATGGCCATTTTATTTCACATTGGGAGCTTTGTTTATAAAATTACACACTGTATGGATTTACAAATATGAGAAAAGTACTGAAAATGGCCATAACCCATATTAAATGCTAATATTTCGAAAAATATTAAATACAGAATAAAGTACCCCCACAACCATTCTGAAATTGTCATTTCTTTGTTGTCATTCCCATGTGTGCGTTTATGCTTAAACCACATTTATGTATTTTTGTTTTTTCTTTACACACAAAATGTACGCAAGTGCAATGTCTTCAGTGACTCTATTTTACACAGCTTGCTTCCCTCACCCCCAGTTAAAAATTTTTAAATGGCAGTATCTGTAATATTTAGGGACAGGATTTCTCAAAAGTCCTAAGTGTACTTCTCTACAAGGCTGTCAATAAAGTAGAAAAAGAAACAAGAAATACTTAAGAAAATCACTAGTATTAAATTAAGAAAGGATTGCTGTAATTTTATATAAATCTTTAGCTTCCAAATGGTTTTTCATTCCTTTAAGCATCTTTCTAGAATCTAATATTAAAATTATACTCTTAGACCTGTGGGGTTTTTTTTGTTTTTTTTATTGCATGTTGCCACCTTAAGGTTTTGTTAATTTATTTTTCTTTGAGCTGTGTTTAGTAAATGTAGGGTATTGTTTTACATGGATAACATATAGGGGCAGTTGGTGTGGGGTAAGCTGTGTCTACATGTAGAAGAGTGAAGGCCTCTGGCAGGGATTTTCTGGAGCTGTCACATGGTAATTATTTTGAATGGGAAATCTTTTTAAAATGAATCATTCTGACCTCAAGGATATACTGGACATAATTTTACCCATTTTGATGGTTGTGGTTCAGTATAATTAACACTGGTTAACCCAAAGCTTGCTTTAAATTCACCAGCCTGCTCCAAGGGGGAAAGATGTGGCAGTCAGCTTCTGAAAGATTATAGCCTTAGAAATCCTATAGGTTAGTTCTGTCTTTCCTTACAGGGTCACTATGAATTGGAACTGACTCAACAGTGTGGTGTTCTTATTGGGTGCCTGTTAAACACTAATCATTTTACCTGGGTTTCTCTCCACCAACAATATTTAGAATCATTCTTGGCTGTTAATAGTCTCATATTCTGTTGAGTTTAATATTAACGGCCATGACCAGTGTGGTGATTTTTCTTTAACTGTGTACTGTATCATTTTGTTGACCTACTGTCACTTCTCACTATTGAGTGTTTGAATACACACAACACAGTCTTATCCCTTTTAGTTATCTATAGGCTTGACACTGTGCATAAGCATTGAACTGCTAACCACAGGGTCACTACTTCAGACCCACCAGCCCCTCCTTGGAAACCCAATGAGTCAGGACTGACTCAGTGGCACTTAAAAACAATTATAATATTTCTAATGTATAACTAAGATTTGAGTTGGGGACTCTTTAGAAATCTGAGTAAAAAACCCCTGAAACTATATCACTGAGATAATCTTCAAGTCATAAACCAAAACATCCCCTAACGTTGTCTTAAAATCTAGCCATACTTCATTTTACTCTTTTATACTATCTATATATTGGGCCCAGAGTAGGTGACAGAGGACTAGAGTCGAGAGTGAAGCGTCCAGCAGATAAGAAAGGGCATATGCACAAGAACATCCACACTTGCAGGTAATACCCACTTGACTTGGCTTCAATGACTAGATGATCAGAGCTCAACCAGAAGAAGAAAGAAGAGGAAAAAAAGAGTAATCTGATACAATTTGATGAATTTGACCTATGCCTATGGATGCAGTAGCTCAAAAGAGGGAACAAATCTTTACAGCAAGGATCATTCCCACCCCCTCCATACACAGAGCAGACAGGGATGGGCAGCTTGGACATTGGCTCCCCAAAATGGGCGGGGGCTACAAAGGCAAGAAGTGACTGGCTTACAAGCTTTCAAGAGGGAACCTAGATCCAGAGGGCGTGGAGCAAGGTAGAACCTCCACTGAGTAGTATCCAATCTGTCTACGTGGGGCTGATGAAATATGCAGATAGGTCTCTTGTGATACAATAGTGAATAATTGTTATCAGGATTGATTGTGAGGGTTGGATATGTAAAGGTAGACCTTTTGTAGCAAGGAGGGGAGTGATTAACTTTTCAGTCTAGTAGCGGTGGTCCCTGGGACCATCAAGGGAGAAGAGCAGAGAGCAGGACCCTACCCATAGAAGCAGTGATGCCTGGTATGGAGGCAGAGACGATGACGTGGAGAGATGGAGCAGCTGGGGACTTTAGACACAGAGGGAGAGGGGCTGTGTGCTGACGACCGGGGAGCAGGGGGCAGGCTTGTAGTTGGTTGGTTGATGATGCATGGAGGGGATTGTAACCATGGCAATGAAATGCGATAGGATGAATGTAAAACTAATGTTCTCCCATATAAACTATCACATAATTCACAATAAAACATTTAAAAAAACAAAAACAAACTATCTATATAAAGGAGTCCTGTTGTGGCACTGTGGGTTAATGCGCTGGACTACAAGGTCACTTTGAACCACAGGGTTGGCGGTTGTAGCTTACCAGCTGCGTATCGAAAACCCTATACAGACAGGGTCACTATGAATTGAATGGACTCCATGGCACTTAACAACAACGATATAAAATCAAATGACAATAACAACTCAAAAGATTAGATACGAACCTTAGGAAGGCAGTGAGTTGATTTTGAGAGGGGTCAACAACTTAGAAAGGGAGAGGTAACAATGCTTTCACAACTCGAAGAATTTTAAAAAAAAGAATTTAAGTAAGATCTGTGTTGTAGTGCATAGGCTCCGCAAGCTTTAATTTTAAATGAAAGTCCTTCAAATTAATTTTTTTGATAATCATTGCTCAACAAGAATGATATTATTGTTGAATAGCTGAATTTCACATGCCGTGTATGTGCTGTTTCTGAGTGAGTGTCCCCATTTATGCTGAAACTTAATTCCTCCCGGAATGTCAGTTTTATGGATATTACATGAAGAGAAAATATTTTGAGTATATTCGGTTTATAATAATTACTAATCTTGAACATTTTAATTTTGCTTAATTTTAACTTTTTTCTTTTAGAACAAATTCTGTACAATATAAAACAAGAGTATAAGCGCATGCAGAAGAGAAGACATTTAGAAACTAGTTTCCAACAGACAGATCCTTGTTGTACTTCGGATGCACAGCCCCATGCATTTCTCCTCAGTGGACCAGCTTCTCCAGGTAAACATAAGTGGAAGGAAATTTTATCTAGTATGGAGAACATGTAATCCAAATACTTATCTCCCTAATTTAAAAGAATGTGTGTTGTATGTGTATAAATAATGTATTGGTTGCACCGTGGGTGAAGTAGTTCAAGCCCACCAACTGTTCTGCAGGAGAAAGATAAGGCCATCTGCTGCCATAAAAATACACTCTTTTGGATACTCTGTGGAGCAGTTCTAATCTGTCTTGTAGGGTTGCTGTGAGTTACAGTGACTTAGTGTCACTGGGTTTATGTATGTATACAATGCATACCTGTATATAATTTCCCCATATTGGGCTTTCTATAAACACCATGATTGCTAGCCTCCATTTCTTTAATCAGCAATTTACCATGTACTTCTTGGTTAGATGTAGATATACTTTGCTATGACAGACTATTATGCTGTTTTATATGGCTTTACCATCCATTATTGATATTTAGACTCAAAATATATAGTATGTGCAGAAATATCCTTTTGTAATCTGTTGTCAGAAGTTGCCTAAATTGACAAGGGAGAATGAGTACTAAGATTAGCACAAAGCTTATTCCTTTGAGAGTAGACATACCTCCACTCTCTCAGCTTTCTCACCCTTTCTGACACCAACTTCCCTACAGTACATTTCTGTCTCTACTGGGTTTGATAATCCATTGCAGCGACTGCATAGAACTCACCATACTTAATGATGATCTAGTTTACTAGGGAAGTGTAATAGGCTACAACTCTGGAGACAGGATAAAGCTTATCTATCAGGATAGCTTCCAACCAAGATAGCACTCAGCTTCAGCTTCGTCTTAGCTGTGCCAGTCACTAGGCCTACTCTAGACCTTTTCCCTGCTTGGGCAAGGGTTACATCTCTTTTGGCTCCATCAATAGGTGTCCAGAGGCACCCCACTCTGCCAGCAAGCCTTGTGTCTGAAGACCCTCAGCTCTTTTGCTTCGTGGGTTGACAAGTCCACTGCAGCCACCTTGAGAACTGGCCTCCTGGTTCCTGCCGTTGGTGCTGCTGTTGCTGTCGTCTTAGGCCATCTCACACTGTCTGTCTCCTGGATCTAGGAGATTCTCAGTGCAGGGATTCCAGGCCCAACGGACATGCTCCGCTCCAGGCTCTTCTTGATGGTAGTGAGGTATACCTCTCAACCTCTGAGGGATTGGTCTTATTAAAGACCTAACAGGATTGCGAAACTGCCCAATCCGCTTGTTGTTGCAAAGTGCCATCAAGTTGGGTCTGACTCAGAGTGACCCTGTGTAGCGTTTCCTAGGATCAGCTGATGAGTTTGAACTGCTGACTTTGTTGTTCGCAGTCCAGTGCTGATCCTACAGCACCACGCCAGGAGTCAAAAATTATATTAAGATACTTGAGATTACTAAAAACTCAAAAATAATTTCAGTATAGCTGCCAATTTGGGGACCAGATCTAAGTGGGTAAAAGCATAGTAAAAAGAGTTATGGTTGGAAACGACTATTAGCAGGAAAATAAGATATTGTCATTTATTAGTATTTCACTGACGATCAATTAACTGGCAACCTCAACTAAATAAGCTGGGAATTTGAAAGTAAGTAAACATAGAGAGTCATATGCACTAAAAGTTGGTATACTTTATTCTTGCAAAACTCAAAGAGTTGTAACAAATTATAGTTAACTTGTCCTAGCCATCATAGATAAAGGAGGCAGATACACTGAGCAGGAAGAAGACACCCCAGTGTGTGTGGGCATGTGTATAAAATAGTTGCAGCAATGTTATTGGACAGCTGCCATAATTTTGAGTTCTTAAAAAGATTAATTTCAGTTGTTAAGAAGTAGGGGATGATGATTTGGAAAATCAAAGGTGCCTTAAGAGAAATGAATTTCTGAAGACACCATTCATATGAGGCATCTCACTATCTGATAATGCCAAGTAGACTATTAGATAAATAATGTTAAGAACTCTTCATAAAATTGAAACATCGTTTAAGTACTAGGTATATTTTGTAGTCAGGGTTTTCGTTTTTTACAGAGTGGTCATGGAAAAAAGGCATAAAATTCAGATAGGAAATATGATCAATGTTCCTTTCTTTTAAGAGATTACAGAAATGTGTTTTTTCATAGATTTCTGCTTAGTGTCTTGACATGTTTTACTGTTACTACAAACAATTGTTTTATTAAAAAATTTCTGTTAAGTGTTGTCAAGCCAATTCCTACTCAGATTGACTCTGTTCAGGGTCAGTAATGAAGCTGGCAAACACTGTAGGGGTTTGCTTACTTTAGTATGTAGCTATCTATATATGGCATCATATAATCTTGAGCCAATCATTGTCAGCTTAATGCTTGAATTTACTCTTCCAATAATAGAAGTATTCTTGTTAATTTGATGCGAGTTGATTAGTTACTTAAATGATATATATGTGGTATTTGCCAAAAATGGAGAATCAGAGGTTTTATCATGAGATCCATCATTGTAATGTTGAAGTTTTATAGTCTGTAATCACTCTCGGATTATGTAAAAATTTTTCCATTGGGAAATGTTTTTTCTGGTATGTTTTTCAAGAATCACAAACTGATAAAATTAGTACTTTCAACTTGTTTTAAGACTGCTGGAGAAATGCTGTGGTAAAACTTGATGGCAAATGCTATTAGATGAACGTTAAAAAGATTAAATGAAAGTTCTTCTGTTAGAATATGCTTTCTAAGATGGCTGTAAATCAGGCGCTGTTTTGGTTTTGTTTTGTTTTATATAGGGACTTCGTCTGCAACATCGTCACCATTGAAAAAAGAACAGCCCTTATTCACTCTACGGCAGGTTGGGATGATCTGTGAACGTTTGTTGAAAGAACGTGAAGAGAAAGTTCGAGAAGAGTATGAAGAAATACTGAACACAAAACTTGCAGGTATGAGTTTATTTTTGAGGTTTTCAAAAACCCATGGTAAGAAACTTTTTATTATTCTATGCATTGTTAAAATATGTTTTCTAAGAACCAGAGAGTTTTAGTAGTTCAATAAAGGAACTCATGATTTACCTTCAGTGACCTCAAGAAAGAGCATTAGCTAGTCATGAAATACAGCAGCACTATTAGTGATACAGAATTTTTCTTTTGATGTTCCCTGCACTAAACAGATTTGGGCTGTTTACTGCAAATTAGCAGTTTATTTTGGACTTTGTATCTAAGGTGATAATTTAGCCATCATTCTAGACATTTGAAACATAACTGGCATTATGTACACATTTTTTAGTACATTAAAATTTAGATTTATAATCTAGCATTTATAAATATATAAATTGCCATTCTTAGACCACTCTATAGTGAACTTTCAGAGTAGCAAGATAGCTTTTTACTTCGGCCCTTTGATAGGCCCCTCCAGGACATATTTGATTTGAACTAAAACCTGTGCTCTTTGCATTTGATACACTCTTATTACTACTGATGGCTATGTAAGTGTCAGATTAAAATGACTATAGAATTGTTTTAATATATATCTTGCATTTGCAGTTTATATAGATCTAATAGCAGATGGCTTCAAAAAGTTCATGGAAAAAATCCATTTTCTTTTCATTCTATTTTACCAAGAACTTTATGAATTCACATGTATTTTACAAATTGTATAATTGACATATGCTTTATTTATAGAACAGTATGATGCATTTGTGAAGTTTACGCATGATCAGATAATGCGACGATATGGAGAACAGCCTGCTAGTTGTAAGTATTTCTTTTTTGTAAGCATTTGTTGTGAATTGAGTGATAGTTTACATGGGAGATCGGTTTTGCACTCATCCTATCATATTTCGTTCATTTCATTGTGATGTTTACAATCCCCTCCATGAAGCATCATCATTCAGCAGTAATCCTTCTATTTTTTTTTTTTTTTGATGTATACATAAACACTCAGGAATATATAATCATATAAACAACCCAAGGGCAGAGTCTGCAAGCGTGCTTCCTGGCCGCCAACACACAGCTTTTCTCTTTCCATGAAAGTATTCAGTTTTGTAGTTATAAACTGAAAACAAGATAGCCTTTTTTTGAGGGGGGCAACTATGTAGGAAATAGGAGCTATCACAAGGCTTAACTTTGTTACTTAAATACCTAGAGTAATATGGGGAGGAGGATTTGGCATGTGTTTGAAATTTGACCTTGTCTTTGTACTAATTATCTTTTTCTCACATTCAGATGTTTCATGAATCACGTTTTCTGCAATTGTGGGCTGCCTTTGTTCCTTGTTGAGTTGTTGCAAGAGGTCCCAATTAATGACATGCAGCAATGCTGATACACCCCCCCTGTGAATACAGGTTATTTCAAGCTTTCGTCAGTGGCAACCACTCTTAGGCAGCAACTGGTTTTGGAAATTTCCTTGATGTCAATACCACCTGGATGTGGACCTTTGCTACTTTTATTAATACCAGTGGCCTCATTTGCTGTATCATTACAATTTGGCTTCGTATATTAATGATATGTTTGAAATGGATTAAAGCTGGTATTCTAGAACATGCCTTTCACTGGTTGTGTAAATAAAACTGTAGAATGATACTTCAGACTGAAGTTAGTGTGTGTTTTTTTTATTATTATGCACTACAACCAAGCTGTAACCAGTTATTAATAATTTAGAATGTAATAACAGGACAATGTTAAGCAAATAGCCTACAGTGCTTCCTGTGAAATAGTGAAGGAGGAGGGTATTTCTATATTCCAGGACTTCTTGGGGTTTCAGAATGGGTTTATATGATTTGGGGGGTAGTTTTTATTTATTCTATCAGTCTTTTTAATAAATGTTTATTGCTGCATCCCCCCCCCCAATGTATCATTGTTTTACTGCCCTTGTAGTACTGGAATTTAGTTAAAGAATAAAACATTTACTTCTCATGTGCTTGTTTTTTAATACACAGATAGATGTGGGTGGGTGGCATGTCAATAAAGCCAATCTTTTAAAGTTCAGCATTTTTCCAGGAGTCAAATGAAGTTGGTTTTTTGATAAGGTTTAAAAATCAATATACCAAACCATCTTAAGATTTGAGTGCTATTATAAACCAATTCAACCCAACCACAGCCATAACCTCTGCTAGAGCCATTACCACCCGATCAAAAGTAGACAGCCAAACCCACCCAAACTGAGCTGCAGGAGTGGTGAATGCAGAAGGGTGCATATTTCCATTCATCACACCCAGTAGGAGACAGAGCTTAAGGACAGAAGCAACATGCTATCATCAAATATAAATGTGACAACACTATAATGTCTCACAACAAAAAATTTAGTTCACACAAAGTAATGAAAGAATTCTCAAAAGACAAAAATTCAGAGCCAGAAAATGGTTCTGAGGAAGAAAAGTAATGAAAAAATCTGAGAAAAATTTCAGAAGAATGGTATCCAAGTACCCTAGCAAATTAACAGAAACATCAAGGAAATGAGAGCACACACACAAAAAATTAGAGTAACACTACTACCATTCATGGGATGCACTAAGTAAGGAACATGGAAGTTGTCAAAAATGAAGTGAAAACACATAGATTGATATCCTAGGCATTAGTGAGCTGAAGTGGACAATCATGGTTTACTACGTTGGGAATGACACAGTGAAGAGGAATGGCATCATATCAATCAAAAACATTTCCAAATCTATCTTGAAGTACAATGATGTCTATGATAGGATAATATCCATATGTCTACAAGAAAGACCAATTTATTTTATCAATATTCAAAGACCAGTTAATTTTATCAATATTTAAATTTACCCTCCAACCACTAAAGCCAATGATGATGAAACTGAATTCTACCAACCTCCTAAGTGTGAAACTGATCAAACATGCAATCAAGATGTACTGATAATTACTGGTGACTGGAATGTAAAAGTTGAAAACAGGAAGAAACAGTAGTTGGAAAATATGGCCTTGGTGATAGAAATGATGCTGGGGATCACATGATTGAATTTTGCATGACCAGTGACTTCAGTGCAAATACCTTTTTAAACAACAAAAGATGATTATACACATGGACGTCACCAAATGGAATACACAGAAATAAAATTGACTATATGTTTGGGAGGAGTTCTGGTGTGATGCTGTGGGGTTAATGCACCAGACTGCAAAGCAGTTTGAACTGCAAGGTAGGAGGTTCAAGCTCACCAGCTGCTCCTTGGAAACCCTATACAGGATCACTATGGGTCGGAACCAACTCGACCACACTTAACAACATTATCTTTGGGAAGAAACACTGGAAAGATCAATATCAATCAAAACAAGCCAATGGCTGACTGAAACACCATCAAATTTTCATATGCAAGTTCAGGTTGATGCTGAAGAAAAGTTTAAGAAGTCCACAGGAGCCAAGATATGAACTTGAACATTTCTTGTTAAGTGCCATCAGGTTGGTACTAACTCCTAACGACCCTGTGCACAGCAGAAGGAGATACTGCCCTGTCCTGCACCAACCTCACAGTTGAGCCCATTATTGCTGCCGCTGTGTCAATCCATCTCATTGGGGGGGCCTCCCTCTTCTTTGTTGTACCTCTACCTTACCAAGCATGATGTCCTTTTCCAGGGACTCGCCCTCCTGATAATACGTCCAAAATCTGGCCATCCTGGCTTCTAAGGAACATTCTGGTTATTCAATTCAAGGCAGACAGGTGTGCTCAGAGGTTATGGTGATTGTTTTCCAAAGGGGTAATCTTGATCTGTTTTCTCAAAGGACACAGGATGATCATGGGGACTTATTAGGAAGACATTTTAAGACAATAGAAAATTGGACAGGTGAGGGAAAAGGCCAGGAAAGTTTCACTGAGGAATTTTTTTCTATCACGACAATGTGCTCATTCTTAGAGGGTAGCAAGGACTGAGAATTTCATTGGAAAACTTTACCCATCCACCCTATCACCCTGCACTTGTCTCTTCAGATTTATATATTTTAATGTTTTATTGTGAATTAGTTTTACATTCATACTATTGTATATCCTTTCATTGCCATGGTTACAATCCCCTCCATGTATCATCAACCAACCAAAGGGTATACCCTGTAAGCCTGGCCCCCGCACCGCACCCTGGTCGTCAACACACAACCACTCTCCCTCTCTGGGTCTAAAGTCCCCAGCTGCTCCATCTCTGGCATCACTGCTTCTCTGGGTAGGGTCACGCTCTCTGCTCTTCTCCCTTGATGGTCCCAGGGACCTCCGCTCCTAGACTGCAAAGTTAATCACTCCCCTTCTTGCTAAAAAACGTCTACTTTTACATTTCTAACGTTCACAATCAGTCCTAATAACAATTATTCACTATTGTATCACAAGAGACCTATCTGCATTTCCTTTCATCAGCCCCACCTAGACAGGTTGGATACTACTCAGCAGATTCTACCTTCTCCGCACCCTTTGTACCTAGGCTCCCTCTTGAAAGCTTATAATTGTTCTCCCATCAGATTTGTTCTTCCATTCCCCTCTCCCTTCTTGTAGTGGTCTTATGCAGTATTTCTCCTTTTGTGACTAATTTGACTTCTTGCCTTTGTAGCGCCACACACACACACACACACACACACACACACTCTTTAGGTAGCCAATGTCACGTTGCCTATCCCTGTCTACTCTGTATGGAGGGGTGGGAATGATCCTTGCTGTAAACATTTGTTCCCTCTTTTGAGCTACTGCACCCATAGGTGTAGGTCAAGTTCATCAAATTGTATCACATAACTCTTTTTTTCCTCTTTCTTTTAGTAGAGCTCTGATCATCCAGTCATTGAAGCCAGGTCAAGTGGGTATTATCTACAAGTGTGGATATTCTTGTGCATATGCACTCTCTTCTTAGCTGGATGCTTCACTCTCCACTCTAGTCCTCTGTGGCTATGTCACTGACTCAGGGCCCAAGAGTCCCCAGGTCTTGCCACACTGCTAGCCAACCAGGTCTCCACCAGGGTTCACAGGAGTCTATTGAACGTTTTAGGACTTAGCTCACTTCCCCTTATTGGTGATGAATGTGGTCACCAATCAGAGTGTGTATTCCCATTGAGTCTTAGTCTTGGAAGAGGGTTTGCTCTGAGGGGACCCAACTACTTGGCTTGTCTCCTGGGTGAGCAATTTGCTTGTTCTTGTAGTAATCAGTCAGTCTGCCTAATTGTTTTGTATTTTTCCTGTCGGTTTGTCTTTCTTTCAAGAAGTATTTTCTGTTCTTCTAGCCACTGCAGGCTAGTCTGCCCATCCTTTCAAATGGATATTTCCCACCTCTGAAGATTCTGGATGCTGTTCAGGATTCCATTATGTAATGCAGATGCTCCACAGGAAGCCTCTTTCACTGGGCAAGTTTGTAGCCCCATTTTAGGTATCCTAATCAGGTATAGGCAGAAGACTGACTTACAAGTTTTCTATGGTGATATTTCTGGCTATTCCTTTCTCCCTGTAGTGTCTATTTTATAATGGTATGCAAGGAAAACCAAGATTCAAAGGGCAGCCAAGCATCGTAACATTATTTCCCCCTTTTTTCCCCATTCCAACCATGTCTCAATCTCTGTATCCCAGATCCCTGTTGTTCCAAGGTTGTGCATACATTCATTACCTCTGTCCTACTTAGCCCATGCAAACCTGCCTAATTGTTCTCCCATTCTCCTCCCCCTTCTTGTATATGCCCCCCTCCCCAGCACCCAAACTATCCTGTATCTATTCCCTACCCTGTGCTTCACCATCTCCCCCCCCCTCTCTTCAACCCACCCCATACATCCCCGTAACCAGCAAAAAATCATGCCCCCCGCCCTGTATTTGTCTGGCTTCTTCCTTAAGGTGGGGTTCAGATATCTCAAAGGGTACTTTAGTTCGATGTTGACAGCTCTTTATAAATGTGTGATTAAGTGCACATGTGCTGAGTAAACACTTGACATTTTAAAAAGATGGTAAAATATCTATTTGCTGTGACTGATGCACTCAAATTGTCTTTTTTAAACTTTGAGAGAGACAAGTCATGGTGTGGCGCTGTGGGTTAATAGGCTGGACTGCAAAGTCAGTGTGAACTGCAAGGTTGGGAATTCAGGTTGATGCTCCTCAGAAATCCTATACAGGGTTGCTATAGGTCAAAATCGACTCAACAGCACTTAACAGGTAATGTTTCTTTTTTTTTTCAATGCTCTGGCTCAGACTAAAGCATTCTATGATTGAGGACAGATGTCTTTACTACTTTCTTGGGCAGATGGAAGGAATGTTTCTTCTCTTGTATTCAGAGAGGGCAGATCTTCAGCTTAATGCAAGATGTACAGATCCACTTCTGTCCTTGGAAGGCTAGACACTTTTCTGCCCTGGCTTGCAGTGAACTATTTCTGGTACTCTGTGATATCCCTTTCTTTTTAGCTCTGGCAATATTGTGACAATCTGTCTTTGGGATATACATCATCCAGCATTTTTATGTGTGTTTGTGGGTGTGGGGGATAGACTGGGGGAGAGCATTTATCCATTCATCTTGTCTCAGCTCATCATGTTGTTAAGAGATTTAGGATATTATGCTAAACCCATGATTGCTCATTTTATACTCAGAATTGAGTTTCAGTTATATATTTTGTCTTCAAAGACAAAACAACAACAACAACAAAATACTAAAAAACACACAACGCCTGCAATTACATGGCTACTCTTAAGGTTTGCTAAACAAAGCAATTTTTACTGGACTTGGATTTCTCTCTCCAGATAAATATTTACATAGCAATTTTCATGTTAGTGAGTAGTGTTGAAGAGATGCCCCAGAATTCTCTTGGTGGTAACTCGTAACACATTGAAGACTGAATCCTAAGTATATCTTGATGAGTTTTGGCCACAGAAGAAATGCAGGTATCATTTGTCACAGGCCTTATTATGGAATGGGATTTTTGAAGGTCTTACGGACTAGAGCACTCCATCATGGGCCATCCAGAAGTAGAATATTTACTGCCTTTAAGTATATAGCCCCAACTTTTGGAAGCTTCCAAGTTGTAAGACTGAAGGAAAAGGAGAAGCAGAGGCAGTGAAAACCTTGTAGACACCCCTAAAAAATAATACCCTTGTAAGGTATTTGTGTTACTTATTGTAAAACTTAATAGAGTGAGGAAAGCCAATGCAAGAAATTGGGTGAGGAGGAATTAGAACTGTTAAACCAATTGCAAATAAATAAGTTATACTCCCAGGTAAAAGAATTTATCACATCTATAAAGCACATATGCTCAAGAACAAATCACTTATAATTCAGTACTGAGTTTTTGAAAGTTAACAGCAATAATGTGAGGGAGGCTTGAGTTACATACAACATAAAGAGTGTTATTTGTTGGGTACTAAAGTATTCCAGAGATGTTTTCATATACACCTGTTTGGGGTCAACATGCCTATTTTCTTGTTAAACATCACATGGAGATTACACATTTCTCTTTTCACCAAAATGTACTTCCATGGTGGTATGTAATCATTGCAAATCACTTCCCTTTTTTCTCTTAAACAGAATGTCATCCTTCTGGCTCCACTCATTTGCCTTCTAGCAGCCTCCCCATGTCAGCCTTGCCACATGGTCAGTCTTCTTTTTGGTAGGTTTTATAAATCCTAAAAGCTCTAGTTCAGAAACAGCTCTAATAAACCGAGCACTGGAGGCAAGCTAAGGAAATTTACCAGGTTGTATTTTTGACGAAAAGAGACTGAAATTTCAATGCTACAGTATTAGTTGGTAAAGTAGGTAAGACAGATAAAATGTGTACTCCTAAATTAAACTCTTAAAAAGAAAAAAAAAAAAAAAAATCAAACGCACAGCCACCGGGTTGATTCCACCTTACGTCAGACTTAAGAGGAAAGAGCAGAACTGCTTTACAAGGTCTCTAAGACTGTCACCTTTCTCTCTTGGAGTGGCTGGAGCGTTTGAAATGTTGACCTTTTGCTTACCAATTCAATGCTTAACCCATTGCACTCCAGTGTGATCAGAATATGCTGTCAATAAGACATGAATGAAAACGTGCTCAACATTCATCTGAATCTCATTTTTTTTTAAATGTAGTATAAAAAATTGCCTCGTCAGCCCCAACCTCTAAAAGTACATTAATAAATAGCCTTAGAAAACTAAAGAATTTAATATCTACATTTTCATTTTAGATACATTTTTAAAAACCTTTACTTTGAAATAAAGAGCCCCCAGTGGGTGCAGTGGGTGTACTATAAGGTCAAACATGGACAGCATAAACTCTTGCTAACTGCAAGGCTGGCAGTTCAAACCCACTAGCCATTCCGTAGGTTATAAAGATTACAGCCTCAGAATCCTAAGGCTGTCTACTCTCTCCTGTAGGGTACCTGAGTCAGAACTGATGTGATGGCAGTGGGTTTGGTTTGTGGTTTATACTTTGAAATATGATTGATATCGATTTTAAATTCAGAATATTTAGAAATTTGAATTAATTATTCTGGAAGGGTATATAGTTAATATTATCAAGTAATAAAAGTGTTTGAAACTTGTCTTTATATAATGTCAATAAAGATCCAAAGAGACTATAAGATTATGTATATCTGAATCCTATACAACTTGTTTGAAAAGGATACTGGATAATTTCATTCATTTCTTCTGAGACTGTAGAATTTGCATTCATTTCAGCAGCTGTCACAACTGTTGCAAAGGCCTTTAGAAAGGACAAAACAGAAAAATTAAAATCTATACCACTGCTCAACATCTTTCTCTCGGCTTCCTTTGAGAGTTTTGTAATTGAGACCACATCAGGCATTGCTGGAGATGGCTGGCCCTTTTTTTCCATCAAACCAAATTTCAGATTGTCTCTCAAAATTTAAGTGATGACCAAGTTAAACCAATTTCACATTAAAAGATAATGTCATGGTTTTTGTATAATCCTGTTTCAAAAACTAAGAAAATGTGCAGAGAAAAACAAAACAAAAAGCTAGTCAAAGCCAGATGTAAAAAGAAGCCTTGTTATCTATTCATCCCAATCTTCTTCTCTCTAGGAAAATGCCTATAATGTATCTTTTTAAATGGTGACATTTGTCAATAGGGTCTCCAGGAGTTTAATCTTTGTAATCGTCTTCTGAGGGAAAGAAGAGAGTTATTTTAAACAATAACAAGTGTACTTCTTGATAGTAAACTGCTGTGTTCTTGTTGAGCGCTGCAGAGTCGGATTCAACTCATAGTGACACTGTATAGGGTTTCCAAGGAGTGACTTTTCGGCCCAGCAGTCTTTCATATACATAAATATACAACATGGGAAATACTAGTTACACACTTTTTATTTTCTGGAATAATATATAACCTGGCTGTTTAGCTTTTGCTTAATGCTCACAATTGGGTAAGTTCATATACTTATTTTGACCTTGCATGAACTAAGAATTGACTAGGTTGAAGGGTGGAGGGTCAGAAGGCAGGGATGGGAGTGGGGCTGTTGAGCAGACAGTTCTATTTCCTGAGGGACTTTTGAAATATGACGTGATTTGTAATTTCCAATCTAAAGACAAGACATTAAAAAAAGATAAATGTGAATTCCAAAGTACCAAAAGTTTAAAAACATCCCAGGAAAGTTGTCATGGATGGTTAGACAAATACTTAATAGTATCTTCTCCTACCTACCTCTGACCAATCCACAAGGTTGATTAGCCTGCTACACTCTAGGTGCAGTTTATATGCTATGCAGATGTCTGGTGCAATATTTGGAATGCAACCTTCTTCATTCTTCAGAGCTTCATTCTAAAAATAACAGTAAACTAAGATCACTACTTTTCAGAAAAGATTAAAAACAAAATCAGACACCAATGAACACCCAAACCTGAACTAGTAAATCATTAAATGGAATATAAATGTCCTCTGTTTAATGAGTTGCATTTACTCTTCATCAGCTAAATAGAAATAGTTCTTGTTTAAGATTAGGCTTGATCATAATCCCTCTAGCTCCTAATTTACCAGAGAGTACTTCCAGAGAAGATGGAAGGAATACACAGAGTCACTGTACCAAAAGGAAATGGTTAATGTTGAACCATTTCAAGCGGTAGCATATGATCAAGAGCCAATGATACTGAGGGAGCAAGTCCAAGGTGCATTGAAGGAATTGGCAAAGACCAAGGCACCAGGAATTGATGGAATAAAAATGTAAATTTTATGCAGTAACTTCTCAAGTATCCTTTGTGGTAAAATTTCTAGATGCTTAATTGAGTTGATAATTCTTCCCAAATTATTTCATGTTTATCTTGCAGAAATGCTCAATGTGATCATTTTACCTGGTCATGAAAAAGCTAGTGTTTAAAATTCTGAACTGTTTTGTGCAGGAATAATTTGCCTAAAGAAGAGTTTTTAGGAAATGGTAAATGTATATGGATTTATATAAGTGGCTCTGGTACAGTGCATTATCCTGGTTTAGTCTGGAGGATTCTTGGCCATCTTCTACACTGAGCTCTGCCCACAGATACTCTCACGCCAGATCTTTCTTTGGTTTAAAAAATACAAGATGAAATCTCAGAATCTTTCTTCTATCTCAGATAACCATCTGGATCTTTAAGTTGCCTGTGCCATAGTATTTGACCCATTATCTTCTCTTATATCTGCAGGAAAAATTTCCCCTCTATTTTCCTAAAAGTCTTGCTGTCTATGATCTCATTTTATCATACAAAGGGTGTACTACAAGGTCAAACATGGACAGCATGAAACAGAAATCTTCTCTAAAGTCTAAAGAATTTTTAAAAATATATGAAAGAGGTATAACCCAGGCTGCCAAGTCTTTGTTCAAATTAAAACTGCAAATTTACAGCATTTTTTGAAAACTAATGGAAGCAGCAGTCAAGAAATCAAACAACGTATTGCACTAGGCAAATCTGCTGTACAAGACCTTTTTAAAGTGTTGAAGAGCAAAGATGTCAGCTTGAGGACTAAGCCTGACCCAAGCCATGGTATTTTCAATAACCTCATATGCATGTGAAAGCTGGACAGTGAATAAGGAAGACCTGAAAGAATTGATGCTTTTGAGTTATGGTGTTGGAGGAGAATATTGAAAGTGCCATGGGCTGCCAAAAGAACCAACAGATCTGTGTTGGAAGTGCAGCTAGAGTGCTCCCTGGAGGCCAGGATGGACAAACTTCATCTCTCATACTTCAGATCTAGTCAGGAAGGACCAGTTGCTGGTGAAGGACATCATGTTTGGTAAGGTGGAGGGTCAGAGGAAAAGAGGAAGACCTCCAGCGAGATGGATTGGTCAAGTCAATCAGCTCAAGCGTGGCAACAGTAGTGAGGTTGGCCCAGGATCAGGCAGTGTTTCGTTCTGCTGTGCATAACGTCGCTAGGAGTCGGTGTCGACTCGATGGCACCTAACAACAACAACAAATGGAGCGTATAGTCCTGGTGTGGCGCTGTAGGATAACCACAATGGGCTGGACTGCTAACCACAAGGTCAGCTGTTCAAACCCACCAGCCATTCCTTGGAAACCCTATACAGGGCCGCTATGAGTCAGAACCAACTCGATAGCACTTAATAACAACAACGACATAGTCTGAACTGTACTGTCATAGAGACATGAATTTGCTTCTTACCTTGAGATAACAGTACGGATTGTTGAGGGCTGTGTGCAGAGCGATTCGCGGAGCAGCATTTAAGTGCTCTCGGAGTGTGTGTGCAGCACTGAAGTACACCACCTCATGTAGAGGCTGTGTCTCTGGAGGCAGAAGGTATTCTCTGCAACAGTCAAAACCAGATACCAACTTTTAGATATGCAGAGGTTTATTTTCAATATAACATTTTTCGCCCTCTGCAGAGGACTGAGCAATTTATTTAAAAAACAAAATCAATAACAATGAAAAACAAACAACTGAAAACAAAACCCAAATATTAAATCCAGTGTAGGTACGCTCCCAAGTGCATGTATTTAATAGCTGCACACAGTTTTTAAACTTTGTGGTAAAATATATGTAACAAAACCATTGCCATTTCAACCATATTAATGTGTACAATTCAGTGACATTAATTACATGCACCATGTTGTGCAATTATCACTAATATCCATTTGCATTTTAGACTCTGGTGTGGTGCTGCAGGATAAGCACTGGACTGGTAACTGCAAGGCTGGCAGTTCAAACCCAGCAGCCACTCTCAGAAACCCTACACAGGATTGCTATGAGTTGGAACCAATTTGACAGTACACAGCAACAAAAACAGAAACTCAATACTGCTGAAGCAATTAACTACTGCCATACAATGTTTTTTTTTTAATTTCCAGATTCTTTAGAGTTAAACCTTTAAGAACAAATGTGCATATATTATATTTCTGCTCAAAATATTTATAGCCCTCAACCCAAAATCAATGTATTCAAATCTATTCTGAAACATAATGACCTTATATAGAATTTCTGAGACTGTAAATCTACAGGAGCAGAAAGCCTCATCTTTTTCTCGAGGAACAGCTAGTGGGTTTGAACCACCAAGCATGTGGTTAGCAACCTGGTGCCTAAGCCACAATGCCACCAAAGTACTAATGAATTTCTTTTAAGTGAATTATTTAGAAAATTGTGATATCCACATTCTCTTTCATAGCAAACATTTGCCTCTTGGCAGTGGCATCAGGCCTTAATATATGAGTTTTTAACTCATTTTTCGATCACAAAACTTGTTAAAATTAATGTCTCTGATGGAAATAATATATCAAAAGCTTTTTATACATTTATTTTTTGCTTTAGAAAGTAGCAAATGTTAAATTTAGGGTTCAGAATATTAATAAATAAGCAAACTATTATTCATCAATAAAACTTCAATTATTATTGAAAAAAGCAATCAGGAATTGTTCTCTAATTTTTGATCTATGAGCTAGATGAAGAAGTCATGAATGAAATGTGAACCCTAGAGGCTTTGAAATGTTGTCTAGGAGTGCATTACGGTCCCACCAGCTGGTCTGTGCCTACAACAGACATACCTCTCTAGGACTGTCTGGAGGCTACAAATTGAGTAAGATGATTTAGTGCACACAACAGCACTTAACAACAACAAGGACAAATTAAGTATTGCCTTATAAGTACTATATTTTGTTGTTGTTATGTGCTGTTGAGTCAGTTTCAACCCATAGTGACCCTGTCTAGGGTTTCTGAGGAGTGGCTGGTGAGCTTGAACCACTGACCTCGTGGTTCAAACCAACTTTGCAGTCCAGCACATTAATCCACAGTGCCACACCAGGACTGCAAGTACTATATAAGTACTGTCATTTGTTGTGGCACTATAGGATAAGTATGGGACTGCCAACAGTAAGGCTGGTGGTTCAAATCCACCAGCTATTCTTTGAAACCTGATATAGACTGAATCAACAGCATTTAATAACAAACAACATCTTAGTTGCTCAAGATTGGGTTTAAAAGAACTTCTCTGTGGCTTCAAGAATGATTTCTATGAGGTGGATTGCCTCCCCAGATGGCAGTCTCCCAATATGCAGCTAATCCCAAGTCATTAGTAACAAGTATGAAAGTAGCAGCACCAATGGACTCAAGGGTAACAATTGTGAGGATGGTGTAGGACCGTGCAGTGTTTTGTTCTGTTGTGCTTAGGGTCACTGAATCGGAGTCAACAGGACGGCACCTAACAACATCATCACTGAAATACCTTGTTGGAAGTCCCTGCCAAACAAGGCAACTAGATCATCAAAGAGTCAATTTTGGAAACAGACTACTGTCTCACATATGTACTGTTCTCCCTTTTAAACATCTTTATCCTTAAATGCTTAGAAATTCAAGCAATCCCCAGACAGAAAGCCCATTTTAGATTATCTTCACAGACCCTCCATCAGAGGTAAAATAAAATGTTTGCCTATATTTGCCTCCACTGGGCTGTTATCAGTTACACAACAATGTCAAAACACTATACATTAGAAGTTTTGTCCAACTACAGACACAGAGTTTGGCATAGAAACATACTTGGGCAGCTTATTCACTGTGGAGGGAAAAGCCCTGAGCCCGGCACTGGAGCACGGCTTGATACTTATTTTGGATTCAGATCTGAGTTTACAAGCAAAAGATAAGCACTTCCCCTCCCCAAAAGAGAGGTGATTCAAAGGGAAGTGGTAGGACCATGTAGGCTATGTTGTTATTGTTATGTGCCGTAGAGTCGGTTCCGACTCATAGCGACCCTGTACAGGGTTTCTGAGGTTGCAAATCTTTACGGGAGCAGAAAACCTCATCTTTCTCCCACAGAACTGCTGGTAGTTTCGAACTGCTGACCCTGAGGTTCACAGCCTGATTTGTAACCACTATGCTACTACCAGAGATCCTTAGGACTACAAATTGAAGTAACTGAGAAAATGGCAGCTTATTTTCAGCTCAGAGCATTTTGGTCAGAGCTCCTCGTGGTATACTGTGAAAGTGCCTCCCGGAGTCTAGTGACTGTTTATGTCATCTTTCAAGTAGACATCTTTTCTCTAGGAAACGCTGGGCTCTGTTCAAACCCCTGGGATGTGGCCCTTGCAGAAAGTGTGACGAAATGAAGATGGCCTTTTGACAGAGCTCTGTGACCTCAGGCTTTGGCTACTACATGACTTCTCTAGTCCCGGTTAGTGCTAACATACTACAATACTAATCTCTTCTCTCCAGGAATAGATAATCTTGGTAAATAGAGTAAATCCTATTAAGTAAGAGTTTGTGATTTCATAACACAACCTATTTAATCAAGTACACAGAGATGGAGTAAGAGAAAACAGATTCTCTAGCTAACTGGCAGCTTGACAGAAGACAGGCTTCCTAAAAGAGCTATTTTGAAGGCTGTGTAAAAACAGGATTATATGGGACAAAACTAGACACTGAGAATTCTAAAGTTGAATTCAAGTGGAATACGGGGATCATCATAATAGGTAATGAGAAGAATGGGGTTAGTCCTGGATGATCAGGCTGATTGTCTCAGGCAGGCCAACTGTCAATGCAAGAGCGCTGACAAAGCCCGAGGACTGTGTACAAGGTACTTCTCCCAAGAAGTGGAAGAACTTTCCTGAAGCATAAGCTAAAGGGTCTGTGAAATGAAAAGAGTGACTGGTCGTTACTAAATGTTCTCTAAGGAAGCCATAAGCATGCAGCAGGAACAGAAAAGGTCACACACATGTGACTAAGTAAAGATCTGTATCCAACATTTGAGGCCTAGGAGAAACATCAAGCATCAACATGAGCAAATAAACAATTCAAACACGGCAAGTGAGTCATTAGCAGTGGGATCGGGACTTTTATTAGCAGCAACTCACTTTTCTGTTCAGTTACCTGCTAGCCCCATTCAGTCAGGCCAGCATAGGGAAGTGAAGGACAATTATAACTGTTCTTTCACTAGAGTAGCATGTACTGTATTTATTTTTTCTACTGATGCTCTGAGGAAAACTGTGAGTGTATGAAGCTCTACCTTATCCAATTATATAAACATTCAAGGGAGCTTCAAAAAATGTTTGTGGAAAAGTAGAATTAAAAGATAAATGGGATTAGAACAAACAAGATGGCGGATTGGGTGGATGTATAGCAGAGAGCTCTGCCAACAACAACACAGAATACCTGACCAAGCAGGCTCAGGGGCCGGTCCCAGAACTCTGAACCGCATATAAAGGAATACTTAGAAGGTTGGAAGGCTCACAG